GAGATGTCCCAGGGCTCTGTTCGCTCCTCTCTCGTGCTGGCAGCAGAAATTGGTGCTGTGCTGCGATCTAGTGGTGCAGCACGTTCATGGGATTCACTCCAGGCTGGGGACAGGCCCCCCAAGCAGGTTTTCCCAGGCTGTTTTCCCAGGTCAAGCCTGATTTCTGCGGAAACCAGGGAATATCCGTGTCCTTGTCCTCTGTACCGACCATTCCTGCCTCAAACGAGAGAAAACTAAAGCCATGGACATCATTCTTCACACACAGCAACAGAGAAGGTGGATAATGCACAAGGCAGAAAGTGCCTTAGGAAATAAAACCTTTTAAATTTGCCACCTGGAGGGTGCTGGAAACCCTCAGGGTTTTGGAGGGGCAATATAAAAGACTTCTCTCACAGTGAGCAGCCGGATCACTTCAGAAATCAAGGGATGATTTAGAAATGAAGGTGGCACAAGCACAGACAGGCTGGTTTGGTCTTTTCCAGCTGAGCAAACTCCTAATCCCCTGGCAGCAAATGAGTAAATGGAGGCACTCGGTGCTCCTCGAGTCACTCGAAGTGTTTGCAGAGCGTGATGAGAGAGATGGAGAAGTGCAGGGAAGAGGGAAAGAGCTTTATTTTTTTTATTATTTTTCCCTGCTCCTTCACTTCCTCTCAACCCCTCCTTGGGATGCTGAGGAGGGAATGGCATAATTCAGCTTTTCCATGGAAATAGCTTTGTTTTCATCTTCTCCCCACCCCCTCATGGAAATCAGGAGGCTGGAGAGGGGGAGCACAGGGGTGTGATGCAAACCTGCCCGGCTGGGAAGGTGACAATCCCGTGGGAAAAGGGAGGGAAAACGCTGGGCAGAGCTGCCTTGGGCTCTTGGATCTGTGATCACAAAACCTGTCTGGGAAGAGCAGTATCAGAGCAAAGCTTTGTTCACATCGAGCTGCTGAATATTTCATGGAACAGCCGTGTCAGACACCGGAGTCTCCGGGAACGCCTGGAGCTGTGCCGTGCCCCGGCTGCTGCCAGCCTGTCATCGCCCACAGCGGGCTCTGCTCGGGGCTGTGCCAGGCTGGGGGGATCCTCTCTGGGCTGGAGCACCCCCAGGCCCCAAATCAGGGTCCTCTCAGCCCCCAAATCAGCCCGAATCCCACCCTAGCCCAGAGCTGGGAGCAGGGGCTGCAAACTGTGCAGAGGGGTCTGACCTGGGAAGAGAGGGGGTTATTTGAGTTGATTTGCAGGGAAATAACTGTTTTGGGGTGTTGCTTTGCAAAAACTTCTCAGGGCAAGTTCAGGTGGTGTCTCAGGGGGTGTTAGTTGGTGTCTCAGGGGGTGTTAGTTGGTGTTTGTGCAGGTTTGGAAGAGCAATGCCAGTGTTTTGTTGTGGCCCCACTGATGCCACCCCTCAGGGTTTCACCCACCTCTGGGTTGGGGTGGGCACAGTCTGGACTGTCACAAACAGGCAAATAAAAGTCTTTTTTCTGCCTCTTAAAAGCTGAAGGATGCCTTTCCTGCAATGAAGGCTGGAGCTGCCACCGGGTGAATCTCTCTGTGGGGTGCAGAGAACTCTCAGTCCGTGTCCAGAAGACCCGGGGAGGGAAAGCAAATAAATCTTGGGGAGTAAAACCCCCCCGCCCAGCAGGCAGCTGTGGCTCTTGGCTCCCAGGCTGGGTATCAGAAGCTCTTCAGGAAGCAAGGAAGGATTGACCAGAGAAATAAAAGTGTCACACTTAAAGCTTGAGGCGTTGGAGCCTCCCCAGACACGGGGCACTCCCAAAGTGCTCCGGGCACATCACAGAAAACAAACCCGAGGAGGGGGATGACCTGAAATGCTCCCCAGGGTCGGAACAACAGAGCTCTGGAGCATCACTCAGGTTGTAGGGTCGTGGCTGAGGGTTATTAACTCGATGTAGATCCTTTAATCACCAGACCCAGCTCAGGCTGGCTGGTTCTCCCTCCTCTACCGGATCCATTTATCTCGCCCTCACACAATCCTTTCCCTTCGCTTCCCTGCCTGCGGCACACAAATCCTGCTCTCCCGCTTTGCTGCGACCCCGCCGCAGCTTTTCCCAGCCCGCCGGTATTCCCAGGCTCCGGAGGAGGTTTTCCACAGCCGCCTGACCCGCGGGGAGCGCAGCTCGCGTTTTGTGGGGCGGGTTTTGCGAGAGCTTAAAAACGATGCCCCGGAGCGGGAGAGGAGCGTTCCTGCTGTGGCAGCAGGTGGCAGCCCCGGACCGGGAACGGCGTGTGCCGGGCTGGGCAGCCCCTCCATCCCAACATTCCAGGGGCCTTGGCCGTGGGAGGTGGGCTTTGCATCCCTCTGGTCCTGCGGGTTCCCGCTCTGGAGCGGGATGGAGCGAACTGAAGGATCCCTTCCCCTTTTAAATCGTCGCCTCCAAAGGAATCGAGCTCTGTGCTTTGGAATCAGGATGAGTGTGTTTAAATGCCAGTCCGGGTTTTAAATCCTCTGTATTAATACTGAATAAACCTGCAGGTGCATCAATGAGGCAAAAACACCTCTGCCAGAGCTCCCCCATGGGTAGGGGATGGGAAGGGCTTCGTGTCCCGGGCTCTAAATGAGGGAAGCACAGAGCGGCTCCAACAGCCCCGTGATTTATGTCCTGGGGGCAGGAAAAGCTGCTGCTCCATTAAAACAAAGTGCCTGGGACGTGCATCCATCACCAGCTTTCCCTGAAAGGCTCCACGTGTCACAGCAAGGCGCCCACAAATCCATCTTTTCCAAGTGCAAACGCTTTAAAGGCCGATCAATATTTTTCTCAAAGAGATTGGCTGGAGGAGAGGAGCTCATCTCATCTCATCTCATTCCTCCCCTTTGCCCCTTCCCTGGTTAACTGTTAATTGGATTGCTGTGGATCTCCAGGGGGAAGGGAGGGAAGGGACCCTCCATGAGGTCCTGAGTGGGGACAAAGATCCCGAGTGGAGCTGGGAAGGGCTCAGAGCACCCCAGGGTGGGGCAGGAGTCGGTCCCTCACCTCCCCTGCCTGCAGCAAGGTCTGGCTCAGGGAGCCCTGGGTCTGGGATGTCCTCCTCATGTTCAGCCTCATCCTTGCTGGGAAACACCAAGCCCTGGACTCAAATTCCTGCTGATTTTACAGCCACCTGCCCCAAATGGATCTTGCAAGCACAGGGTGAGGTTTTTATTGCGTGTAAACACTTCACCTTGAGTTGCCAGCAGTTTGCAACTATTCCCCTCGATCATTTTGTCCCTCTTTGCACTGAATTTGGTCATCCCTACATGGAGATGTGTGCAGGAGACACATCTCAGGGTCCTTTCCCTCGTGTGCACAGGCTTGAGGAGCCTCTGGGCTCTTCCTCAGAGCTCTGCTCACCATCTCCTCACAGGAGGAGCCTCAAACAGGAGCAAGAAAATCTTTGCTCATGGAACAAGTAGATGAGCACTCAGTGTTTGTGTGGTGCAGGAAGGCAGGGGCCTCCTCCAGGTGGGATTCTCTGCTGAGACTTCCAAAAGCCAGAGGGGATATTTCAATTCCTTCCCAGCAGGCTGTCTGCAGCCAAGGCCATGCAAAGGAACAAGGAAAAGTGGATTTTGCAGGGTGCTGAGCAGCTCGAGAAGTGCAACGTGCCCTTGGATCCCTCTGGAATTAGCAGGAATCAGCACCTCGGAGGAGCAGTCAGCACTGTTTGAGAGGGAGCTCTTGAGTGACTTTCCCCACTCCCGCCCTAAATCCAGCTGCACAACAGGATCCCCGTGGAAACGGCAAACCTGGGTGAAATTTAATGTTTCCAAAGGTGCTGAGCAGCTGCAGGATGAGGAGTTGAGCCCGTGCTTTGGTGACATTGATACCAAAAAGTCCCCACCTTTAACACCAGGTTTCCTTGTGCTTTGTTGCTGATCCCTCTTTGCCCCCGGAGGCAGGGGATGGGTGGCTGGAATTCTGCTCAGCACTGGGCTCTGCACTGTCTCAGCTCTTCCTAATTGATTTATCTGCCTTGCTTTGCAGCAGCTGGGCCGTTGCTGCCCTGCAGCACCTGCTCTCTGAGTCTGGTTTGTGTTACTGCATCCATCACTCAAGGGGAAAACTGCAGCCGAAAGCTGCTTTCCCAGAGGCCCTGAGCAAGAGGAGGCCCTGGCACAGGGTGCCCAGAGAAGCTGTGGCTGCCCCTGGAAGTGTCCAAGGCCAGGTTGGACGGGGCTTGGAGCAACCTGGACTAGTGGAAGGTGTCCCTGCCCATGGCAGGGGGTGGCACTGGGTGATCTTTAATGTCCCTCCCAACCCGTTCTATGATTTGCATTGGATTGTTCCATATAAGTAGTTTAGAGGACACATGAAATATATATCTAAAAAGGGTCAGTGTGTTGCTTCCAGAGAAAGCTCCTCTCTCAGTTCAAGTTTTGCAGCCTCAGCAGAACATTTGGAATGTGGAAAAAAAGGAAAAAACGCAGGGCAAGGAGAGGCAGCAAAACCTCACTGTGAGTGTTTCCTGGATGGGGGGGAGGCTTTAATTAAACTGACACTCCTGATCACCAAGAGGCCGAAGAGATGTCTGGGCTGCGATGTTCACCTCTGCTGGGTCACTCGGCGGGGGGACAGCGCCTGTTTTGGGGCACTCACCAGCTGGCACCGCACCCAGAGCCAAGATGTGGCACTTCAGCTCCTCCCCGGCGGCCCCGCGGTGGCAGAATCGCCCTTGAGGGAGGGGATTTGCCCCTCGCGGTGCTTTGGGGGGGGCCCTGGAGGGTGCTGAGCCCCCCGCAGCCCTTCTCCTGGGTGACCCCAGCGCTCAGACCCTTCCATTCCCAAAAACTCGAGCCGGTGGATTCCCAGCCCGGGGTTGCGCCTTTGGCGCCTGCGGGGATTTTTTCGGGGAGGCAGAGCCGGGGCGGCGCGGCCGCGGATGCTAATTAACGGCCGCGCTAATGAACCCCTCCCCCTGCCTCAGCCCCCTCCCCGCCAGCCCCTGCCTTCCTCCCTCCCTCTCTGCCTCCTCCTCCTCCTCCCGGGGCGCGCTCGCTCTCCGCCCGCCCGGGAGCGCGCAGTGCGGCGCGGCCGCGCCCGGGAGCGCGCAGTGCGGCGCACCGAGCCCCGCACCGAGCCCCGGCTGCCGCCGACCCTCCGCTCCCCACCGGGTAAGGGGGTCCCGGGGGTGGGCACCGGGATGCGGGAGCGGCCCGGGGGATGCTCGGGGCACGGCCGGGCGGGGAGGGGTTGAGGGGGTGATCCCCGCATCCTCACCGCGGATTTGGGATCTCGCTGCCTGCAGGGTGACACCTTCCCCCTCCCTCCCCCTTTTTTTTGGTGCCCGGACCCCGTGCGGGGGGAGGTGGGTACCGGGCTGGGGGCATGTGATGGGATTTTGGCTCTTACGTCACGGCATCGTGTCCGCGCGTGTGATAAAATCCCGGGGTGGCAGCGCGGGGGGACGGGGGGGAAGCGCAGCCCGGGGACAGACCTTTGTGTGACACGGCAAGTTCGGGGCCCGAAAGCTCCCCGGGGGGACGAGGGGTTTTTGCCCCGCGGGGAACCCGCACCCGGCGCTTCCCTCTCGTGCTCGGGGGCGGATCCGCGTTCTCCCCTCGGAGACCCCCCGGGCTGGCAAAATCCATCCGGCGAGGCCTCTCCGAGGGCTCCCGGGCTGGGATGCGGCGCTGGATGGGGCCGGGCCCCGCCGGAGAGCAGCGCCCGGTGCCGGCCAGGTTTGTGATCCGCGTGATCCGGCCGCGCCTGCAGCAGCCCCGCGATCGATCCGGCGGCTCCTGGAGGTGGGGAAAGTGCTGAATCATTTGTACTCCCGGCTCTCCGGGCGGCTCAGCTGCTGCCGAGCTCCCGGCAGATGCTCGGGAAGGGGCTGCGGAGGGCGAAGGAAACTCTGCTGCGTGTGCGAGGCCGCGCCGGAGGAGGTGGGAATGCTGCGGGCCCGGGAGAGGGAATGCTGGGCTGGAGCGCGGGGCACTGTCCTCTGCCGTGGCCTCAGCTGCTCCTTGGAGGACAGGGAGCAGGGAAGATGCTCCTTGCATCCCGGTGAGGCCTGTGGGCATGGCGCTCTGGGGGATTACGGGCGAAAAAAGGGAGGTTTTCTCCAGAAAACCCTGTCCCTGCTAAAACTGGGAAAGGCTTGTGCGCCTGGCTTGGACGGGTTTTTCCTTTTCCCTTTTCCTTTGAGCTCGTTTTTCAAGGTCAGGTCCTCGGAGCAGCGCGTGGGCCGGGGGGCACTCCTGAAAGTCAAGCAGGGATGTTCCTGGCTGCTCCCTGGGAGGGAGGCGGTGCAGGGGGGCAGGGGGGATGTGTTGCAGGAAAACCGGGATGCTGCCATGCCCGGCCAAGCCCGGCATGGCTTTAAGATGGATCCTGTGGCGCTGTGGTGTTTCCGGGGTGCTCCTCTCAGCTGCTGAGCACAAAGGCAACAATCCTGTGACTTTTCCAGAGCTGCTGATTCCTTTCTTTCTGCCCGAGGTTCTGTGAAACCCCCACCCTTGGCAGGCACTGACGGGCAGCGTGGCTGCTTTGTTCCCAGAAAACTTCTCTGCCTGGCCTACCCTGAAAGAAAAACCCCTCAAACGCAGCATCCTCCTTTTCATTTCTATTTCTGGCCTTTCTCTTCCCCCCCAGCTCCAGGCTGAGCTCTTGCTGACTTCCCTTTTTTTTTTGTGTGTGTGTGTGGTTGTAACAGGAATCCGACATAAATAATGCATGGAAGGGCTGCTCAGCTGACAGAGGACGGGCTCAAGTTGTTAAATTTGAAAATAAGACTTTGTTTACAGGGGGGTTGAGACCTGGGGACTGGCTTTGTCTTGCTGGAGCTGCACGATGGGGTTGGTTCTTGGGATAACAAAGCTCCATCCTCATCCTCAGCCCTCTCAGGCTGTTTCCCGAGCTGGGCTGTGGCTTTGGGATCTGATTTAAACCGAGACAGTCAATCCAATCACCTCTTCTCCCAGCTAATGATTAAATGGAAAATATCCCAAGCTCTCAAAAGGTATTAATTCATAATGAATTATTTGCCTTGCCGGGATCTAATTGTCTTCGTGGGGTCCTGTGCGTAAAATCGATGCTGCTGCTGGCAAAGTGCCACCACAGAGGCTTCCTGTGGCTCTCAGGCAGAGAGGGTGGGCAAATATCTTTGGTAAAACGGGCAAGAAATGAGGATTTGGTGCTGCCTGGGCTCCTGTGGGGTGCTGGGAGGAGGCTGATCCCACGGGATTCCCGGGAAGGAGGACACGGAGCCCCAGGGACGAGCTGCTGGTGCAGCTGCTCAGGGGGAGCAGGGGAGGTGTTGGGGTGAGGGGTGATCCATGAGGTGTCTGTTCCGTGTGTCAGGGGCTGTGTGGGACCGGGAATGAGATGCTCCAAGTGCTGCCCCAGGAGCTGCTGGTGTTTTCCATGATTCCAAGGAAAGGGAGAACGGACACGGGCGGGAGGCAAAAGGACCTTTGCTGGCTCAGGCTGATGGGAGAGGGGCAGTGGAGGGAGTTTAAAGGAGTTTTAACTTTCTGTTGGAGTGATTCTCACTTCCAAGACTCTGTTCCAGGCCTGGCTGGGTGACCCTGGGAGAAGGACCTGAGGTGACCTTGGGGGGAAGGTTTGTTGGGTGAATTATTCCCAGGTCCCAAGGACCTTGCCAGGCTCCAATCCCCTCTCTCTTCTGTCACCACTGAGCAGAAATGTGGTAGTTTGGGGGTGTCTCTACAAAGCACTGCCCAGTGTCTCCAGAAATGGAGCTCACCTGGGCAGGAAACTCGGATTTAACCCCACTGTGGTTGTTTGCACTGGATGTCTCTGAGTAATACACAGAAAATCAGATTTTCCTGGAATTTGAATAACAGCAGAACCCAGGAGGGGACTTCTAAAAAAACAAAACAAGAAACCTCTGGTACTTCCCTTTTGAGGGTTTATTCCTTGGGTTTCATTTGCCCTTTACCAAAATATCCCCCTGTATCTTAAAACCAAGCAGCTCCAGCCACGGGTTGTGTTCACTTACAGCTTTTGAAAGGCTCTTGCAAATCTTGTCAGGGAGGTCTAGCTTGTCTCCCTGCCCTGTGGGTAACTCCTTTCAGAAAGGATTTTCTTCATTTTAAATGTTGTTGGATGACTTCTGCTCCATCTTTTCTCTTTTTCCCCCTCCTGCTCAAGCAGGTCACACCTTCATTCCTTTACCTTGGCTGTCCAGGATAATTATTGCATAATTTGAGAGATCCAGCTCAGAGTGAACCTGCCTGAAGTTGTTGTTACGTTAAATAATCCCCCTCCCTTTCTTCTTCTTTAATCCAGATCCGAAAGAAACAGTGCTGTGTTATTATGGATTAAAACAGAGCAGGATTTAGACCTCAGCCCTGCTTATAGGGATCACCATTCCCAGTTAATGAGATAGGAGGAGGAGGATTAACAACTGAACAAGTAGAGATGGGGTTGTGTGGCTAAACCAGGTAGAAGTTCCCAAGGATACACGGGGACAAGTCTTTGCTTTGTCCCTTTATCTCCCCTCGCTTCAGAGCCCTTTGGATCTCATCCCACCCTGTGAGATCCGGGCCTGTTCTCCTCCCTGTGCGAATGCAGCTGGGAGAGAGCAGCCCAAGGGCACAGGGGAGCAAAGCACCCACTGCAGGCAGAGCTGGACCAAAGGCCTTGGGAACTGGGAATGGAGAATTCCCTTCCCAAAGCAGAGTCTGGAAATCCTTCTCTGGCCTCACTCTGCTCCTCAGCCCAGCCCCAGCATGGGGCTGCTGCATTCCCAGGCTGGGGGGAAGAGGCAAGAGGGGCCTTTGCACAGCCAGGATTCAGTGTAGGGTGACACAGGCAGGGCTGAGAAACCCCTTGCACTGTCCTGGCTGCTGCTCTCCCACCTTTGGAAGCAAACATTGCTCCTCACAGATGGCTGGTTAAAGGGAGCAGAACCCAGAGGCTTTTGGTGCAAGGTGAACCCGGAGGTTCATTGGAATTCTTGGCAGGTTTTCTGCTGCTTTCTGCCTCCCTGGCAGGGGGGTTTTGCCGTTTTTCCAGCACGGGGACCGATGGGTTCCTGCAGACAGTAGGAATCCTGAGGCCCAGCAAGGGTGATCCTGTCGGACTGTCAGCCCGCATCCTGAATTCCTCCTGAAATGTGCTGGCACGGGCTGGCCGGGCTGGCAACTGCAGTGGGAGCTGGGAGGGTGACAGGGCTCTCCTTGGATCTGCAGGAAATGCAGCGAAATCCTCTTTCTGCTCGGAAATGCTCCCTTTTCCTGGCTATCCCATAAAAGAATCACGGAATCATGGACTGGGGTCGGGTTGGGAGGGACCTCAAAGCTCATCTCGTCCCACCTTCCACTAGCCCGGGTTGCTCCAAGCCTCGTCCAGCCTGGCCTTGGACACTTCCAGGGATCCAGGGGCAGCCACAGCTTCTCTGGGAAACCCGGGAATGACAAGGACATGGGTGTTCGTGGGTGGGAGAGGGACCCTCGCGGAGCGGCCCCGTCCCGTCCCGTCCCATCCCGCGGGGCTCCGGCCGCTCTCCAGGGTCCTGAACCGCCCGCCGGGGACCCCACGCGAACTGGGGGCTCTCGTGCCCTCCCCCTTTGGCTCCTGAGCTGTTCTCTCCTGATTTCCCCTCGTGTCCAGGGCAAAAAGGGATAACAGGGATACGCTGAAATAAGAGGATGCAAGAAGGGGGGGACGGTTCCCCCCTCCTCCCTCTCCAGCAGGACTGGATTACCCGGAGAGGGTGGGTGGGCTCCACCTTTCTTGGTGTTTAAAACACCTTGTTTTAAACCTGGATAAAGCTCTGCACAACCCGGGCTGGGCTTAGGGCTGAGCCTGCTCTCAGCTGATGGCTGGGCTGGGTGACCTGCCCTGGTCCCTTCCAGCCAGAAGTGTTTTGTGATCCCATCACCTCGAGGGTTTTCATCAGCGGGGAACAAAACAACCTGCTCCCTCTTCACATCCCTCTGAGAACCTTTTCTCCTGTACAGAGACTGACTGGCCGTGCTCACACCACCGGGGAGCTGTTTTATTGGATATTCACAGCCTGTTTTATTGGGTATTTGCACGGCCTGGGGGCAGGGAAAGAAATAACAGCAATAACACCATTCTCTTCTCCCCCCAGCGAGCTGAAAAGGTGGAGGCCAGCCCAGGCTCTGGAAGTTTTACCCAGTTA